ACAGTTGTCATATGTTTATTTAAATAAGACATACTTGTTTCAAACAAAGTAGCAGAAAACCTATCCAACACTTCTTGAAGTAGACATAGACTGTTCAGAAATTGGGGAGCAATATTAATATGCTGCCAGCAGTTATTTAAGAACTTCAGAAAGCAATATAATGGACAATAATTTGTATTACTGCTCTGAAAAATTCGCTGTTGAAGCACAAGTTCGGAGTAATGGTCACATTTCTTTGCAATCACTGGAAACCTGGAGAACTCTGAACCAACATGGATCTGAACAGTTGATGCCCTCAGTAATTCCCTGTTGATTTGCACCAATGGAATGAAAAAGGTTAAGTTGCTTTCTTTCATGCTTTTCTTGCTGTGCAGGAAGAAGACTCTAGTGTCCCAAATGGTTAACTGTCTGAAATTACCTCAACAATTCAAAAGCAAAAATGTCGTACCTCAAACTGCGATAAAATTCAGCATTGAACTACACTTTTAGTTTTGGATGTTACATTTCTGTGGCTATATATGCACGTTCTGTGCAGTTGACACAAGGGGATAAAAAGAATATTAAAAGGGATTCAGCATCAAAGAAGGAGGTAATGCAAAGCCGAGTTCTGTGTTATGCTAGCTCTCTAGCTAACTTCTTGGATGTAGGAACAGATCAATGCACCCTGCCAGCAGGATTACCTTGCTCCTGCCACTCCATGTGGTGAGGCATGTTTTTTCCTGGGTGAATTTTGAACGCAAGTGTAACACTTTTCTCAAGTACTGTATTTATTGCAAGCTTCTGTTTATTCCCAGCATCCTTCCTTTGTGTTGAGTTCCTGTCATTGCCTGTCTCTGTGAACTTCAGTTGCCTCATTTCCTTGGCTGCTTTCACACCGTGATGATGTTCTTCCATTCTGTCCCTGTCCCACTCCTCTTATGAAGTGTCAAAAGGACAGGCAATAGCTGAGAACAAAAGATGACCTTCTGAGCCATATGTATTGTAGAGAGAGTTATTTAAAGGCTGGCAGGTGGGACTTTAGTTTTTGTACCAATAGCATTATTTTTCCTTTCTGTACTTTTATAGTAGCCTCTAAACAGAGACCTTTCTGGGCTTTCCCATCAACTTTCAGGATTTCTTAGCCTATTCAGAGTCTGTGGTGTCTGGGCCACATACATTTGACTTGACCCCAACAGAGGACTTTTAGAGAAGGCTTTGAAAGGCAACCACGCAATGCTTGTGTTAGCTCATCTTTTCCTTCTGTATTCAGACAGACCCTACTGAAATGAGGCTCTTGACCTTGTACACGCTCAGAAAACAGATAATAAAGAAACCCTACCGCAATTGTAACCAGTGTTTTTTTTATGCAGTAGGATGCCTCTTGACACGGTGTGAGAGCATAGGAGAAGTGATTTCCATGGGAATTCCTTGTGCATTAGATACCCTGAAGTGTCTATGCATTCCTGCCAGAACACCTGTAATGGAATAACTTCGGGTTTACATAAAAGATTGATGAGTTTAACATGATCTTTAATAGCACCTCTGCAACAGGTAACTTTATTTAACATTTAAATACCTGGAGAAGCATTATGCTTCTGTAAAATTGACTTGCTCAGTATTTAAAATCAGGTGTATTAAAAAAAAGCTATTGATCAGTATGAGAAAAATGATTCAATAGAGTATTAATCTCTCACCTGTTTTTCCAATATATCATAGGTGCATGATGGTAGAGCAGCAGTTGCCTTTTCAAACTGTGGTTTTAGCTGCTTTCATGAACTGTATGTCATGACAGTTCTTGCATAGCTATGTGCTGCTATAATTGAAACTTCAGGTTCTGCAGAGAGACAGCTGTTTGTTTAGTACATAACTTCCAATAGAGATCTGATGTCCTGATGTAGTTAAAGATTAGATGATGGTAATTGGCAGGATTGTCCTTAAAAAGAGGTATAGAAGTAGCTTCTTGCCATGAGGTTTAACTTCAGATCATTATGTGTTCTTTTTTTTCTTATGAAAATTATAATTGAAAGAAAAGAGGTTTTGAATCAGACTTCACAAATTTCAAAGAATATACGTAAGATTATACAGCTGTAATTGCTGGTGCAAAACTGTGTACAGGAGTTTTGTCTGGTAAAATGAGAATTATTCTGAGAAAGTATAAGAGCCACTCAAAAATCTTACTGTCAGTAATAGCAGCATCTTGAAGAAACATTCAGGCAAGGGAAAATTATAACATTTCCCTCTTATATAGTTACACAAGATTTTCAGAATTATTCTTAAAATGTGCTTAGAGAAATGTGCAGTAGGAAGAACACACAGCAATTCATATGCTGCTCCAGATTTATAAAGGGGTTGCACGACAGACATTCAGTGCTACTTTTAAGCCTCTGGGAAAAATACCTGTGAATAATAACGGTATAGGAGAAAAATAAACATTGAGAAATATTTTTCCATTTCACAGAAAAAGTTTATATAGTTGAGAAAATTACAGGGCAGTTACCCTGTCATGTATCTCAATAGTGAATTTACATGTTTCTGTGAATCTCATTCTTAACTCCCTTTTTAGTGTCAGAAGAAGGTCTTTTTACAAAAGGAGAGTAGAGAGTAAATAATAGGAGGCTGTAGTGAAGGTCTAGGAACAGATTTTCTATTTTTTCAGATACAAGATTTTGAAGCAGGTTGTTAATGGAAAACTGGTGGATTTTTTTCTCAGTTTTCTTATTTTCTATTACTCTCTTCCATTTTGATTATCTTTTGTTTTTCTTTCCAAAAGCCCTTCAAACCTACTTTTTCTCGTCTTTTGTTTGATGATACTTTCCTTCATCTCTTGCTCTGGCTCCAACCTGGTTGGTCTCTTTGCATCTGATTTGGCTAATACTAGGGGCGATCATACATGCCACTATAGTGTATGGAGAAAAAAAAAAAGACCGTTGGTGTGGTCCCTTATTGACATGATTTAGCTGGAGGCAGCTTGTACAGTTAAACTGAACCTACTATTCTTTCCCTAAATGTGGGTTCAGGTAGGAGTGCGTGGCAACTGTTTTATTTTGGGATCATGGCAACACCTTCCAATACTGTGACCCATTTTGCTTCCTCTGTGTATCTTCTAATGAGATGTGGTGGCATCAGCCTTTCAAGAAATAAGAGCTGCTGCAAAGGTCATACTTTTTGTGTAAACTATCATGGCATGCTATGGTCTCCTGATTAAATCTCTGTTATGAGTTGAATATCTCAGAACAAAGAAAATAGAGGGGTGGCACATGGTGGTCTGAATTGTTTTTTTACCCTTCTCTGAAGGTATCTGGAGTCTTCTGATTGAGCATGGGTGCAAAACACCCTGTGTTCCTTTGTTATGGCCAAAAAAATGCAAAAAACACATCTTCCTGTGTGCAGGAGGATTTGTGAGCACTAACTTGTGAGCCTTTATTCAGTATTAGTTTTGTCACAGGTTCCCTTGCTGACACTTGGGGAAATCTGGTTCTTTCTAGTTGTAAACCCTGTTTTATTTGTCTTGCTGTGGTCTCGTGAAGATTACTGCAGCAATAATTATGAAAAATCTAGAGCACAGTGATAGGAATTGATACTATAAGAATTGGAGGTGCAGTCTGTGCTTTTCAAAGAGAGCAACTAGGATAACTGTATACGCCTAGACTGTTTCCTGAGAATGGATGGGCTAGGCTTCATCACAGAGTGTGTGCTTTTAATTTGATCTTCAGTCTTCTGCGGTTAAGGCACATTTTCAAGGGAGGATTCAAGAAAAACCTACCCAGGGAATCAAGTATATTTATAACAGCTAATAGCATGGGAAAAAAAAGTGCTCTATTTGTGAAGGAGATACCGCTGTCAGAGTGTATAATGGAGTTTCATCTCTCTAAGTGTTTGGATGCAACACAATTTTCTGATGTGTGGATTCCTGCTCTTCACAGTAATTTCTGGCTCATTAGTAACTAAGACAGAGATTAATGCTTCTCTGGATTAAAAATATGCTCCTTAGAAGACTCTAAATTCTTCTTCCATGCATGTACCCAATAATTTGCACTTAACATAGCTGACAGCCTGGCACATCCCAGTGGGGTCCCTCATGGTCTAGGTCAGCGTGATTGGTACTGATATTCTGCTACATATATCCTGCTTCATTTTACTGGGGTGACATGTGTTGTATAAACAAGGTGCAGGAGGCACCCATCTGTGTGAAATCAGTCATTTAATTTCTGATGCAAGGCTAACACTATAAAATTTGTCAGCAATTTTTTTTTTCAGTGGGACATCAAAAAGAATTGAAGCCACATCCCTCTTAGCTATATTTACAAAATCGTAAGTGTGGCTGGAACTGTGCAAACACAGTGGGCTTCTGTTGATTTAATCCATCTGGATATACTGCAAATAGCTAATCAGAAGCCTTCCCCTGTTGGGATAGTCTGTGTTTCCATTTGGATGCTCTTCTGACATACCTATGCTAGTGTGACATCTGTATGAGAAGCTTATAGGTTTTGAATGTAATGTTTGTCAAAATGTGTGACTTTACTGTGCAAAAAGGTGGAGACTGTGAAACACATTTCTAAATGAAGAGAGCACACATTTATTATTGTTTGCTTAATTTTAATAGCAAAAGGATTTTTTTTCCTCTACACATTAGAATGTGTTTACCTATGTTTTGAGCGTGTTATCTTCTCCAACTTTTTCACCCTCAAGAAGCTTAAAGTACAATTTCCCTATCCCTAATCGTTAATGTTGGAAACTACAGGAAGGAGTGCTGTGGACCCATTACAAGTCTGACTGACTCAGCCATTTAAAGGATAGATTAAAAAGAATTTAAAAACATAATGTTCTCTAAATGTTCATTATTCTGTTCAGACACACTCTTTAATACAACTGAAACTAATGTTTGAATGAGCATTTTGAATATTATGTTGAAATCTAAATTATGCTCAAGTTTGCTTGTATCTGCATTAATTCTTTTATATAATAGTGTGGAGGTATCTAATTCATCTCTCTTTTTTTTTTCTTTTTTTTCCCCTCCATAGTTAATGGTCTAATGACGCTTGGATTCGCAGGTGAGCTTTACTTCAAAAATTCAACTTCTGTTTCTGTTTTGTTAATGGCCACCACTGGATAAGCGCTTCCATCCTATCTCATCTCAATTAGTCAGCTGTCATGCATTTTTTGCAACTGGTCTTGCCCATTGGCTATATGAAGAGAGAGTGTTGTAGTGTTTTGTGAAGGTCATTTTCAATAGTGATGGTTAAACTGTAGAATTATTCATGACTTTGAACCCCATTGGTCAGGGATTTAGACAGAAACTCTTATGACATCAGTTTGCTGTCAAATGACTCAGGTTTTTTTCTATAACCTTGCAAAATACTGAAGTTTTATTAAAGAGAGACAACCTAAAATACCAAGGCCATGGGAAATCCATTTAAAACCCTGCTGGGAAGGGATTGGAGCAAATTGTCAGCATACATGGCATAGAGGAGGAGAAACTCGTATTCTGTTGGATTTATAGGGTTATAAATCAAATGATTTAGAATACTCTGGCTGTTTAGAATACTCTGCCAGAAAAGGCAACTTTGCTTAACTTTTCTGAAAGCATCAGTGCAGGATTTAAGTTGCCAGCTGTGCAGTTTTTGTATCTGGTTTTGAATTTTGCACAGCTTTAGTGCTCATCTGCAGATCTAACTGTGGAAAGTATAACTTGTAACTGGTGCAGCTGCCAAATGAATTGGCGGGAATGCTTAAATAGGCAGGATCCATGCTATCATGTTAACTTCCTAAGGACAAAGTTATGCAGCATGTTTGGTAATTTTCACCATTTCTATCACTGGTGATTAATTATAGTTCTGACTTTTTGCTGACATGGATGAAAACTTCACATTAGCTTTAAGAGCACTGACAATCAGACGTGATGAGGGAGGTAAGATTAGGTCTAGTGAGTTAGCCATACACCTGGAGAGATCTGTGTAGACTTAGGTTCTCAGGTGCAGCACAGGCTGTCCTGTTGTGGGCCTGCTGCTCTTGGAAAGTATGTGAAAGCATCACAGAGACAGTGACTGCCCCAGCTAAGGAGTTAGCTGTGATAGCTGGAGTTAAATTGCAAGGTGCTCCTGCCCAGGCTCAAAAGCAGCAGTCTCCTTCATGGGTGAAACGATGTGCACTCAAGCCTGTTTTACAGTCACATGCCCCATTTTGAATGAAGATGTTCAAAAGTTTCTGATTGATGACTGGGTTATGATGTGAAGCCTGAAACATCATCTTGCCTTGGATTTACTTTTTTTTTTCTAAATAAAGGAATAGTGCCATGAGGACTGCTCCTTCCTTTTAATCAAGCAAAGTCTTGCATGGTTTTGATCACAGTTCATCTGGCAGTGTGTTTGGCTGTTACTACACAAAATTAGAACCACTAGCTCTTTTCAGCAATGATGGAATCCTGCTTTCAAAGTAACTAATACAAGGAAAATACTTCCTCTCCCTGGTGTAAATAGGTTCTCAGTGAAAACGTAGGTTCAGAGGAAAAAGGTGCAAGACCTGATTCCACTTAGACTTCTTTTTTCTTAGGATTAAGTGAGCTGTTCTCCTTGGCTTTATTGTTGAAAAAAGCCATTCCTCCGGAGTTCTCAGGAGGATTGCCATATACAGAGGTTTTGTTAGGGTTGCAGTTTTGTTCAGGTAAATCCATTTCTCAGATTTATGCTGCTGTGAGAAGAAGAAATTACACTGGCTTTTTTCATGACTAATTTAATTTAGACATTTGTATTAAATATGTTTATATACATATTTAGTTAATTTTTAATATTCTACAAAATATATGCTTTTTTAATACAGAACAGTGAAAGTAGTAACATCTGTAAAAGTAAAGCAAGACATACTTAATGATTTAATCAAAACAAAATGTTTCAGCCTTATCAAAATCAAATACATTAATCTGAATAATTTTCTTTTCAGAATTTCAATTTTATAAGAAATATAAAAATACTGGTTTTGTATTCCAATGCAGTCATGGGCTGGGTGAGAAAAACCTTTGACCTTGACTCTTAATGTTGTGGAGTTGCCATTACTGGTTGAAAAAGTTACAGGCTTGCTCAAGTCAAGGTTAACTCTTTCTTTGCAAGTAGCTGTATGCTGTAATTTCAACTGATAATTGTAGATAATTCATGAAGTCATAGAATCTATGATCACTGAGTCCAACCATTAACCTAACACTGCCAAATTCACCACTAAAGCATGTCCCTTAGTGCTGCATCTACATGTCTTTGAGATACCTCCAGGGATTGTGACTCAACCACCTCCCTGGGTAGCCTGTTCCTGTCCTTTTGGTGAAGAAATTTTTCCTACTATCCAGTCTAAACCTCACGTGGCACAACTTGACGCACTTTCCTCTTTTCTGCCACTTGTTACATGGGAGAAGAGATCAACCCGCACTTGTCTACGACCTCATTTCAGGAAGTTGTAAGAGAGTGATGAGGTCTCCCCTGAGTCTCCTTTTCTCCGGGCTAAACAAGCCCAGCTCCCTCAGCTGCTCCTCATAAGACTTGATCTCTAGACAATTGTTTTAGTGATATGCTAAAGAAAAAGTTGTGATTGTGAAAATTCAAGCCCTTTAGCTGGTAAGATGTACAAAAGTTTCTGATGTTAGAGTAATTTCACAGTAATATAATTGGTTGAATAGGATGCATTTGTGTAAGCTTGAGAAGTGCTTTCTATACTGAAGTGTGTGATCAGGAGATCCAGTTACTTTTTAAGTGAAAATGCAAATGGGCGGTAGTAAATTAGTATGAGTAGAAGCTAAGTAAGATCAGAAACGTGACTAGATAGGTTCCTCTATGCTAGATCTAAAAAGCAATACTATATGTGGTAACTTTTCGTATTTTATACTAAGTCATGTTTTCAGTAAGTTTATGTAAAGATATACTTTATCTGTTTTCTAAAATTGCTCAGAATATTGAATACTAAGTTTACAACAATGTAAGTGGCAAGCAGAACTGTGTGAGGAGTTTGAGTGATGTATTCCTGCTTCTATTTAAGTGTTTTTGGTTTAAGGTGCTTCTGATTTTACTTAGGTGCACGTCAACGGACTGATCTCTGCAATGAATCTCTCATGTTAGAGAAGTTGCCTGCATGTGGAAAATCCTTTGAAGAGATGATGAAGAAAGTGGACTCTAAAAAGTGGTGCAACCTGACAGAATTTATCATGTAAGAGTTAGTTTTGGTTTCAGTAGTTCTCACCTTATAATAGTGTTTGTCCTTTAAAAAAAGAATAACTTCAAATGCCAGAACACTGTAATACCAACATCCTAATATATCCATAATATGTGTAAAATGTTTGTGTTCCAGATAGATTGAAAACCTCCAGTATTTGGTTGCCAGTTGCAGAGGGCTGAGCTGCAGGTCTTAAGTCCCTGCGCTGGAGCCTCATGCATGCAGAGACACCCAGCTATTAACTCCGAGAGTACACAAAGTAGACCACTTTATTGAAAACTAACCAATGGAACAATCAATACTATCTGCTATTGTTTTTACCTCAAACAGTCGTGTTTACATTTAATCTGTATTTCTGTGCATTTTAGGCAATTGTTACCCAAGTAATTTTTTTTCTGTGAAACCACTAAAGCAATAATGCTTTTAGAATCATGCTGTTCTGTTTTCTCTGGCAGCAATACAATTCCCTCCTCTGATTTCCTTTTTTTTTCAGTAAGATGACATTGTTTCAGAAATCCACCTTGTGTGAATTGCCCTATTCAAATGTAAAGTGATTTGTCCTATTGAACCTGCTGTAGTTTGTTTTCTTGCCTGACAGATAGCATGGAGAGAGTGAGCTTTACCTAGTCTATTTGGATGTTTAAAATACTCCAAGACTGACAGTAGTGAGGGTGGCATTATTATTTTCTGTCTCTATTCCTGTTAACTGTTATCTCTATTCCTGTAGTTGGCTGGAGGTATTTAAATATCCCTCTATAAAGCTGCACACTTCAAACTCTGCTTTGGAGGAAAATCAGAGGGTTTGTGTAATTGGTGGCATTTTTGGCTTTGTAGAGCATCTGCTCCTTAAGACCATGTTTGCTTATGCGTAATGCTTGGTCTTTGGAAGCACTGAGTACTCTCTACACCAGCTGAAATCAGGGGAAATTGCAGGTGTTCAGCACTTCAGAAAATGAGACTCAAGTGAGCTAGAGCTGGTGTGGTAAAAGCCACCCTGAAGCAGAGCATCTTCCTGGATGTGAAACTGTGCTGGTGGTGTTTTTGGAGGCTGCTTCTGAGGCAGGGTAGCCACAAGCCATCTGTTGCCACACCTTTTACATTTAACCCTAGGTATATTCTTGTCTTGTATGATCATTGGTCTTGTCTCCTATTTAGTATCACATTGTGTTATGCAAGATTTTAACTAGCTGATGACTGTTGTAGGGTATCTGTCGATAGGTCTTGATCCGTGGGGGAAGAAAGACACACGACACACAATAGGGTGATGAGACACAAAGGGTGATGAGACAGAGATGTCTGCCTGCTCAGCGTAGCAGGCAGCTTTTATTGAGATCTCTCCCTTCAACTTTCTCACGCATACAATATAAACATATTCTTGCAAAAACATTTAGGCATGCAGCACCTGCACTCAGCCAAACAGCTTTAACCTTGTACTCTTTATAACTCAAGGCTGTGTCTATGGAAACTATCTAATTAGCTCCACTGTTCTCATGGAACACGGCCTAACACTTTGCAATACCTCAAACCTCTCAAGCTTCAATTGTGGGGCTGCGACTTCACCCCACAGATGACCAACAGACATGATAGATAATGAAATGTTGGACTGCAGTGCTATGTTGCAGCAGCTCCCCAGGAGTCTCTTATCACTGACACCTGTGTTGAAATGGTCCCATCTGCTGATAATGTTTCATAATCTGACAGCATATTAACAACTTAGATGCTATTCCTTCTTAGCACATTTATTTGCACATTTATTTACAACCTTGAAATCTTTTAAAGGGTACATTTTTAAAACTCACGGCACTGGAGTAAAAGATGCAGTCATGCAGCTCTCTCCAGCTGAGGGGAAGGGCAGGAGGAGGCAAACCAGCTTGCAGAAATTGCATTCAAATCTGGCAGAGAAATATGCATATAAAGAAAAAGAAATCCTTGCAGTGCTGGTACTGATAAATTTCTTTAATAAATAACAGTATGTTATGGAGCAATAATTTCAATTTTGCAGCTCACCTAGGTACAAGATGTTTTATTTATTTTGATGGAAGCACTGTAATTTTGCTCCATTTTATGTTCTTTACAGTTGTATAATAGTCACAGACTGAGTTCTTTGCTGATATCTTGTTCATATTGATGTGTCCTTATCTAATGGTACTACTTGCAGCAGAGAAAAGTACCTATAGGAGTCAAAATATTAGACTGTGCCTTTGTTAATGCAGGTAAATAAACAGACAACTTTCTTCAAGACTTGTGCTAAAATTTCTTCAATAGCTTAATGATTTTGGTGCAAGAATTTTTCAAGGTTTGGAGGTGACTGAAGTCTGAGTTCTCCTGGCTTTCAGCTAAATTTAGGAATCCACCTAGTTTCTATCCTTTCCAATTGCACTTGCCCTTTGGTGTTGTTTTTATTGCCTGTACAAGAAAATTCCTGCCTTTCTATGGAGATGGTTTTTCTGAAGTTGGTCAGTCTGAGGCTTTGCACATTTTTCCTCAAAAGCAGCACCAGAAGAATTCAAGCCTCTTACAGAAGAAAAACCTTTTACGTTTTTACGTAGTATTCATTTTTTGAAAACTTCTTTCTATCTCCTATGTTTCAAGTTCTACTTTAAAAGAGAGTAGCAGGAGGAATTTGTTTCGGAATTTATCTTCTGAATCAAGGATTAATCAAGCATCATAAGTCTGATTACAATTTATAATAAGAGTTCATTGGACTGAAGAAACAGCAGACGTGCATCTACCTTTATGAATTTTACTCTTCTGAGAATAAACATTGTTATTTGATGTCATGTTTATATAAGAAGCATATAGAATCATAGAATGGCCTGGGTTGGAAGGAACCATAAAGATCATCTAGTTCCAACCCCCCAGCCTGGGCAGGGACATATGTAGGCTAATTTATTCCAGCTCATTGGAGGAGCCCTGACAGATGAGACAGGAGTAATCTGACAAAGTAATGAAAAACTAGTTTATCTAGCCATGGGCACTTAAAATTCACATCTGGAAGCCTGGTAGTATTAGTTTACACTGATTTTACATATAGCCTCCAGCAGTAACAATTAATCAACCTGGATCAAATAGAGGGTTAAAACTGTGGGGTTTGTATAATAAACCCTGTTTCTTCATACAGTTATTTCTGCATGGCACTTTTCATTTAGAAAGATTTTTCAAAATCTTTGTATCTTATATCAAAATGTAACAGTTCATGGAAATCTGCTTCTTTTCTAAATTCTTTGTTTCATGGAGGAGTTTTAACTCTACAGTGTAGATGGCTGTCCTCGATTATGAGACTGTAAATAGCAATTATCTGCAGTGCTTCACTATTTGGCCAAACATTTGTGAGAGAGATATTACAGTGACTTCAATTTGTCGTAACTTAATTATACTGTAAGATTTTCTGACAGCTCTGACATTCTTAAAAACCCTGTGTTCTTTAAAAAGCAGCGTCTTGACTGATTTTAAACAGACGAGGCTCCTATGTGGCAGCTGGTACTGCAAACCAGTCTGAGTTTTAGCCTCCACAGCTGATATTGATCTTGCTGGGAAAGTATAATGACCGCATATAAGTGGTAAAGTATGAGGTAAAGCTTTACTAAAGCACTGTCAAAAGAAAGTTTTCCTATTGTTTTTGCATTTTTCTATGAGGATTCACAGAGAAGTTAGGATACGAGTACTCTGGGTCAGATTATCCAAAGGTACTCGAAAGCTTAAATATGATGAGGGATCAAAGTAGGGTTTTAAAATATTTTAAGTAATTTAGATGTGATGTATTTCAGTGGTTCTTGCTTGGACATTGGAATATGAAGGCCAACCACAAACACCTTACAAGAAAGGTAAAACACAGCTGGAGATATTCATTGACAGAGAAGAGGGGTTTGCCTAGTCACAGTTTTGGTGATGCCTATGAGTTATTCATAGGGAGCTCTGAAGATGAAAATACAACTTGATTTAACAGACAGGAAATTATGGTACATGGCAAGTGAACTGAAGTATGGGTGAAAGCTGTATGGGGAATTAACAAAAGAAAATATACTTCTCGTTTACCAGAAGATTGGAAATTACAGAAAGGTTTTTATTTTTAATGTTTAATGTTTTTGATATTTTATATCTGTTTATAATAACATGCATGTTATAAGTTCTACATTACATATAATAACAGAAGTATTATATTTCTGTATTACCTTCTTAATATTTAGCAACTGCATCTGAATATATAAAATCTGCTACTGTCCACAAACCAAAGTCCATTATTAACTGTCAGATTTTTTTCACTGTGCTATGTTAAATCCTGGTGTGGTTGCAATGGGACTACAGTTGAGAGGCCAGGTATGACTAATTACTGAAGCAAGTGGCCAGATGAAGATGGGAGCACCCAGAGCTGTCTTACATGAACCTGAAAAAATGCTGCTTATTGTAATGGCTTAGATTACTTTCTATTCTTAGCTCATGAAACGGTTTCCCAAATACTTCTAACTGGATCCTGGAAACAATTTAGCTAGAACAAGCAGTTTCTAAACAAAATTCTGTGTGTATCTTAGGCCTAACCCCTGTGGAAATGTGGGATCACAATGTGCTAATACTGATTATCAGTGGCTTGTTAAGCTTTTGGCCTGCTCCCAGGCACCAGTCTTCTCCTCTCTTCTGCATCCCCATTTTCCAAATCTTTATGAGCATAGTTACTAGCATTTCAGTAATTTTGAGGCCAGAAAGATGGCCATCTGGTCTGCACTGTTGAATAATACAGGCCACGCAATCTACCCAGTAGTCACTATTTAAAACCCTGTAAGAATGAGTGTATATTATGGGAATGCATAAATTCTTATTTAAAAGATTAGTATTGATTCATTACATCTATATATATATAGATTGTTCCAAAGGGTTTGCTGTTCACAGCCAGAGGAAGATGTGTCTTATTTCTCATCAGTTTGACTCCAGTTCCCAGCGTTCACACCTTATTACATATTTCACAGATACAGTAAAATTCCTTCTTTTGTCAGAAATCC